ACCACCTGGCTTACACCACATCGCTTGTACGACATAGCTTGCATCACATAGCTTGCACCACATAGCTTGCGCCACATTGAACGCAGTTCGCACAACATAGCTTGCACCACATAGCTTGCACCACGTAGATTGGCCCACATAGCTTACACCACATAGCTTGCACCACCTTGCTTACACCACACTGCGTGCACCACATCACGCACACCCCATAGTGGACACCACATAGCTTGCACCACATATCCTTCACCACGTACATTGCACCACATAGTTTCCATCGCAAAGCTTGCATACCATAGCTTGCACCATATAGCTTATACTACATAGCTTACGCCATGTAGCTTACAACACATAGCTTACATATCCACAGTGAAATAACTCACTGTGTGGTGTCCATGCTCTGGCTAGCATGTTTACAAACGTGGACCCCCACAGACCAGTTGTTCACCCCGAGACGTGTTTTTCCAACCATCCTGTGGTGTTGGGTCCTCGGTTTGAAGAAACAGCGCCCCGCGTCTCCTTCCTCCTCCCTTCATCCTACCTCCTCCCATCCCTCCTCCGCATCAGTCAATGCTTCCGGAACGCCCCTGACTTACATGCTTCGTGGCCCCAGAGGGAGCTCCACCGAAGTCCCAGTGCTACCGCCAGCATGCGTCCCCCCCACCCACTACAGCGCTTTGTGGCCCCACAGGCAGCTCCACCGAAGGCCCCATGGCTACCGCCCGCGTGCGTCCCCCCCACCCAGTACATCGGTGCGTGGCCCCACGGAGAGCTTCACCGACGGCCCCAGTGCTACCGCCAGCATCCTTCACCCAGTGCAGCGCTTCGTGGCCTTATGGAGAGCTCCGCCGAATACTTCAGTGCTATCGCCCGCATGCGTCCCCCCCCACTCCCAGTGCAGCGCTCCGTGGCCCCATGGGGGGCTTCGCCGAAGGCTCCAGTGGAACCGTCCGCATGCGTCTCCCCCGCCTAGTACAGCACGTCGTGGCCCCATAGGGAGCTCTACCGTCGGCGCCAGTGGCACTGCCCGCATGCGTTTCCAACATTCAGTACACGTTTCGTGGCCCTAGATTGAAATTCCACCGAGGGCCCCAATGTCACTTTCCACATACGTCTTCCCCCACCAGGACAACGCTTCGTGGCCTGATAGGGAGCTCCACCGAAGGCCCCAGGGGCACCGCCCGCATGCGTCCGCCCCACCCAGTACAACGGTTCTTGGCCCCATGCTCCACCGAAGGATCCATTGGAACCGTCCGCATGCGTCTCCCCCGCCCAGTACAGCGCGTCGTGGCCCCATAGGGAGCTCCACCGAAGGCCCCAGTGGCACCGTCCACATGCGTTCACCCCACCCAATGCAGCGCTCCGTGGACCACACAGGGCTCCACCGAAGGCCCCAGTGGCAAAGCTCGCACGCGCCTCCCCCACCCAGTACAGTGTTTCGCGGCCCCATGGGGAGCTTCACCGACGGCCCCACCCAGTGGCAAAGTTCGTATGCGTCGCCCCCGCTCAGTACAGCGTTTCGTGGCCCCATGGGGAGCTCCACTGAAGACAATACCCACACCTGCGGCACTCACAACTGCAGATGGTTGCGCCCTTCCCCAGGCTAATTTGAAGTTTCGGGGCCCAGTGATGCCCCCCCCCGTGGCCGAAAGCACCCCCGACCGCCCGCCATGTTTTTCGCAAACATCCCGTGCCGTTGGGTCCTCGCTTTACTGTTGGGTTGGGCTTGCTCTACTTTCTGGCTGTCTGGCCTGCTTTGAACTGTTGTCTGGTTTGCTTTAAAGCGGGGTCTCGTCTACTTTTGGCCGGCCCGTTTTCCTTGTGGGCGGGGTCTTGTCTACTTGTGGACGGGGTTTGGTATATTTTTTGGCGGTCTGGCTTAATTACCTATGGGCAGGGTCTCGTCTACTTTTGGACGGGGTCTGGTCTATCTAATGTTGGTGTGGTCTGGTTTCCTTGCAGGCGGGGTCTGGAGGTCTGCCCTGGTTTCATGAATGGTCTGGTTTGTCTTTGGTCGGGGTCTGGTCTACTTTTCTATGGTCTGGCCTGATGTGATGAGTGGTCTGACTTACTGTTGGGAGGGGTCTGGTGTCCTTTCGAGCAGTCTGGATTACTTTGACGGGTGGCCTGGCGTTTTTGGGGGAGGGGTCTGGTCTAATTTGTCTGGTCTACTCCTGCGGGGTCTGGCCTGCTGTGATGTGTGGTCTGGATTCCTGGATTATTTTTGGACGGGGTCCAGTCTACATTTTGCAGTCTGGTCTGCTGTGATAGATGGTATGGTTTTTGTTTGCCGGGTTCTGGTATACTGCTGGGCGGTCTGGCTGCAGCGACGGGTGGTCTTGCTTACCTTTTGGCTGGGTCTGGTCTACTTTGTGGTGGTCTGTGTTGCTTTGACGGGTGGTCTGGCGTGTCTTTGCGCAGGGTCTGGTATATGTTTGGGGTGTTTGGCTGGGTTTGATGGGTGGTCTGGTCTGCTGTTGGGCGGTCTGGATTGCTTGGCGTG